AGTGCCCTCAGCTGAGAAGAGAAAGTACAGTCAGTACAAGTGCTCAGTGGGTAAGCCCTCTTCCTCGTGTTTGTTGACCAGTTGAGCGTCTGCAATATGAATACCAGTGGCAGCCAACGGTTGCATTCCTCACCAGCCCAGTCCTGTCACTATGATCTCGTTGGAGTGGGTAGCTCCCTCTAGTGTGTACACCGTTCTCTGTATAGTGACATAATATGTAGTATATAACTCCATCTCCCACCTACACAGAGTGCTCTAGCAGTGCCAGCTCCAGTGACGACGAGGTCAAGGAAGCCTTTGAGAGCTCTGACCACACCTCCTGGTCCCAGCGACCAATCAGAGTGCCTCCCTCCGGCTGCCGGAAGAGAGTCTCCAAATACTTTGCACAGATGGCCTCGACTGGCTCCATAGAGAGACCTCAACTGGACTTCAAGAAAATGCAGTCCAAGAGATTTCTGATGGTCTCTAGCTCTTCTTCTTCTCTTCATTTGTATGTTATATTTGTCTGTCTGCAGGTCCACAAGCCTGTAGTAGTTCTCCGCCATAACTACCATCCATGTACATTCTCCGGGATGGTGGGTCCTTACCTTACCCCATATTACCAATTATCTCCTACCCCTCCATTTAGTGCCCACCTCTGGAGCTCTCCCTCGACTTCACCAGCCACTCATTCCAACCAGTGCCCACCCAGACATGATGACCAAACCTATTTCTATCACTTATAAAGACCAGCCCATCAGCTGATTGTCACATGACTTGTTAACCACCTCATTTCAAATTTTTAGTCATCTTGTGCACCTGATTGTCTCAGTTTTGTGTTGTGTTGCTATTTGTACATGGTTCACCTTGCAGGCTCAACAAGTACAGAAGAATAAAGATTTACTAAAACGTAATTGTGTGAAAATCAATTGCCTGAAACACAAACATTTACGCTCCCACCCTGGTTTCACAATTAAAGAAATGAATCTTACCACACAACACACATAATGTACAAAATAAGAGCATGACTCTGCAATATAATAAGAGTTTTCAATGACTAAGTGAGTCCAGGAGGCAGGATGTTGACCTGGTAGCTGGTCTGGGTTCCAGGGAGAGTGGTGGTGTGGCTGGCAATGACTCCACTCCTCCTCACCACCTCAGAGAACGCCAGCTCTCTCTGCCGTGACAGGTAGTACGCCATCGCTCCTACAAATGCATCCCCAGCTCCCTATATAATATACACAGAGGAATAGATGGCGATCTTAACGAGGGGGAGTGGCCTACAGTTGTATCCACGGTAGCCACAGACTCAGCTGGGATATGGGTCAGAGTGTCAGTGTCCTCGGAGCCCCGCCCACTAAAGACCACACCCCCAGCTCCAAGAGTGAGTACGACACAGCCCGGGCCCCTGGCAAGGAGTCTGTTGACTGCCTGTTTGGCAGTCTCCACGTCACCTACTGGGATTCCAGTCAGAACCTCCGCCTGGGCCCACGGTGAGAGAGAGGGTCCACCTATACATGCATGCATGCTGGCATACCTCAGTCTCATTGAGGACTAGGATGTCAGTGGAGTGGAAGAAGTCATCAGAGAGAGGAACTGCTGGTGCCGTGTTGAAGATTGTCAACACTGCAGTGAACAAACACAACAGCTCTCAGTCTTCCTAGTACCGAGATCTGAGAATGACGAAATGAGATATTTGCAGTTTGTATAGCAACACATACTCTAAGCACTAATGACTCCTTCATTTAGAAGTTGATTGGGCAAGACTCTGTGTCTGTGTACATTCTTCAACTCAAGTATACAAGTTCTTCTTCCCCCATTGATGTGGCCCACCTCCATTCTGTTTGGCGAGACGGAGAGCTTCCAGTGAGGTGTCCGGAGGGACCTCAAGCTGACACACCACGACCTTTGACCCCCGAATGAGGTGAGCAGCTGCCTGCACATCGGCCGGACTCAAAGTCATGTTAGCTCCACTGACTATCACAATACAGTTCTCCCCTGCATCCCAGCTGAACAAGATAACATTCAGATGGACTCTTGCTGAACAAGTTACCCCTGTCGTTAACGGTGATTGACGCCACTCCCGAGTGAGCCTCTCTTGTGACTGTCACATGATCCACCTGCCAACAGGAGGTGTTGTCATGACAACTCGCTATCAAACCTACATTGACGTTGTTGTCTCTGAAGTTCTGAATGGCGTCTCGTCCAAACTGGTCATTTCCTACCTGCACCCACACCACAGCTTCCTCCTGAGAGCTACAGCAACCTGCTCACCTTAGCCACCATGGCAGTGGAGACCCCCAGACGAGCCGCCATCACACACTGGTTGGCTCCCTTCCCGCCACATCCAGTCTTGAACCTAGTTCCACTCACCGTCTCCCCCGGCCGGGGCAGCTCCGGCACGTAGCTGATGAGGTCCGTGTTGCACGAACCGACCACCAACACTTCCATCTGCTCCGGCAAACTAGCCCCGCCCACTGCCACGTGGAAAGTTCACGGGGGTTCAGCTGCATGCAGAGGACATTGCTGGAGGATTGGCAAACTCTTGACAATGATCGAGGAGGACAGCGAGCAGCTGGTAGAATGGTTGTTGGGGACTTCATCCCTCTCGCCGGCGGAGCTGTGTAGACATTTCGTCAACCGTGCAGCCGAGAGAATGCAGGAAACAAGGGAGCCTGATATAAAGGACTTGACGAGGGACGTGAGAACCGCTCGTCTGTTTCTAAGCCTTGTCAGAGAGAGCCAGGATGTGGAAGGTCTCGGATCAGTCGCTACTGATCTCCTGCAGAAAGTCTGTATTCCCTACCTGAACGTCCTGTTAGACAATTGCTTGACTGGTCCAGTTGTTCAGGAACTAGCAGAGACTGCAGCAGTTGCACTACTGAGCCCCCACCTCCCACCATCTGCAGTGGAGGAGACACTAAGGGAAAGCCTCTCTCCACTCCTCACCTCAGGAGACTCAGCTGAAAGACTGGCCATCCTCAACAGCTTCCTCTGTCACCTGTTCTCCAGAGCCAAGCCAGAGAACCTGGAGACCCTGCCGGGGGTCTCAGAGCAGCTGTCGGCCATTTTCCTTCTCCTGCTCTCCCTCCTGGACCATGCCTCCACTGCCACCAGCCACCTCATCCTCTCCTCCCTCCTCCCTCTCTTCATCACTCCCTCCCATCCTCTCCGTCTCTCCGCAGTGTGGTCACTGGTACAGGAGGTGTGGAGTGGGAGGAGAATTATAGAGCAGACCCCTCTGGCCTTCCTCCTCTCCCTGCTCTGCTGCTTCTCTGATGTCCTCATTTCTCGAGACCACACCTCTCCCTTCCTCTCCGTGTTTCCGTCTCTCGTCACCAACCTTTGTCCTCTGCTTGACGTGAGGAGAGAGGGAGTGTTCTGGGAGGTGTTGTGGGCGGGGCTCCGCAGCTCAGACCCTCTGGACAGGAAGAGAGCAATGTACCTCCTCCACAGGTTGGGAATTTCACCGCAGAGTTTAAATGAAGTTTAGGCCACCCTGTTTTCCTTGGTACTTGCACTGCATTCGCCAGCTAGAGTCAAAGTGTTTAGGATTGGCTTTGCCTCACCTGCTTGCTAAAAAGTATGAAATTTCAGTCATTTTTTCTCTCGAAACTCCGACGCAGAGTCCTTTCATCAGTGAGAATGGGAGGAGGGGAGGTGGTGAGTGTGGGAGGGGTGTTCTGGTGGAAGCCTCAGAGTGCAGCTGTGCTCACTGAGGTATGGGAAGACCTCGTCTTACTGCTGCACACAATGGAGGAGAAACAGGTGAGCGCTTTCAAGTGGAATATTGTATAGCAAAGTACAAAGAGTAACTTGTACAGTTTGGCTGCAGGTACATATTGTGAAGCCAGTAAAGAGCAGAATGAAGAACATTGCTCGTGCCACAACAACCTTCGTTGATGGTGGGTGGAAAAATGACATCACATGATGTCATTGGTGTGGGTGCAGGACTGAGTGTGCTCCACGTGTCGTGGCTGGAGTTGGCTTTGGAGAGAGTGTTCCTTCATTCCGAGGCCAAGTCGATCGTGAGGTGGGGTGTCTGCGAGGCTCTCTCTTTGGACCTTGCCTCCTCCCCTCTCCTCCTCCCTACTCACTGGCAGGTGTGTATCTCTTCCCTCCTCCTCCTCCTCCACCCTCCCTCCCTCTCCTCCCTCCACCTCCACAGTTTGTCTACGGTCCTCTCCTGAATGCTCTCTCCAGTGCCAAGCTATTTTGCAGGTGAAATCTCCTCTCTTCGCTGTCGATTGTGATCTGATTGGTCATTATTTCAGGGACTCACCCACCGACCTTCGACCATCAGTTGCGACTCTATTTTCGTCATTTCTGGAGAAGTTTGTCTCTGCTCTGTCACCAGATCTGAGAGGTACACATATCCGTGCTTCATCTCTCAGCCTCCATCTGCTGCAACTGCAGGAGACTTTCTGCACGGCCTTTTAGTCGCCATTGAAGCCAGCAACATGAGTGATACTCCATTCCTTCACGTGACACACTCCCTTTCCCTCCTCCCTCCCTCCCCTCTGCTCTCTCCTTCTTCTCTGATTGTGTTGAGGTAGGCAGTAACATACTGTGTGTATGTGTCAACAATGAAAGGTAAAGGCAAAGCAACAAGTCGTCAACTACATGTACTCTGTGTGTGTATCAATGTGTGTGTAACTGTGTATTAGGTCCATGGCAGGTCAGCTAGACACACTGAGACCTCTCCTGAGGGCTGCTGTCATGACATTCCTCCTTACTGCCGCCGCTAATCTCTCGGATTTGGTACATTATTCTTCCTTTTTACGGACTTACTTACTTTCTTTTCTCCTCTTTTTTTGATTTTTTTCTGTGAATGTTTGAGCTGAAAGAGCTTTGCCTTATGTTACCTTATGTCAAGTTCATTTTTTCGAATTAGTAGGCCTATTGGTATGGTTTCGAAGTGAACGAATACTCTTGCAAACTATCTAAACTGAAAGAGACCTTATGTCACCTTGTGTCAGGTTCATTTTAATTTTTTCAAATTAGTAGGCTTACGACAGCTTTTGAATATTGCCGTTATGTACATTGGGAGGGCCATTAGCGGCGGCAGTAACGAGGAATGTCATGCCATCTCTCTCTCTCTCTCTCTCTCTCTCTCTCTCTCTCTGCCAGTCAAAGGGTGTGGGTTGGCGAGAGGTGGCCAGTCTGTTGAGTGGTGTGGACGTTGCCTCTTGTCTTCCTTTCTCTTCCCACACATGGAGGAAGGTATAGTAATGAGAAACCCTTGCTAAAGGAATGACATGTCGCAGAGAATCCTCAAAACTCCCTCCCAAACTGTTCCTCCTAATAGGTGTAGTAGACAGTATGTTCTGTTCATGGCAGATGTGTGACTGGGTGACTGCAGTGAGTGCTGTATGTGAGGAGCCCATCTCCTTCTTCCTCACCAGCTCTCTGGGCTCTCTGCTGGACCCTGAGGTCAGGGGGTGGGACCAGGCCACTCCTCCCTCTCCCTCCTCTCCCTACTGGCAGTTGATGCTCGACTCATTTCTCGGTAATATCTTCATCATTATTGCATCCCTTCCCCTATGTCACTCCACTTTTGTCTACGTTGCATCATCATGTATTTTGGGACTGAAGATATGGTTTCTCTTTTCTCCAGGTCGTCTCTGGAGACTCTGCTGGAGCCATTGACAACAGTAGTGTCCTCAGCCAGTTACCGACCCTACCTCTCCTCCCACACCCTCACCTTCTCACTCCTCACACTTAACTCCTTCCTCTCTACATTCCTCTCTGGCTCCATTCTGTCACCTGACCTCTGGCAAGGTTAACCATTAGCACGGAGATCACGTTGCCATGGTGCCACTCACTGCAGGAGGCCAGTCTGACACTGGGAGATTGGTGTACGATACCTTGTTGCCATGGCTACCAGACATGGCAGGGACTGTGGAGGGACTGCTGTTGAGAGGGACAGTGGGCGAGGGGCTTTCCCTTCCCCACCTTACCCTTCTCACCTCCTCCCTCTCCTCCCTACACACCTTCACCTCTCTCTATGGCTTCTCTTGGTCTGGTGACATAAGCCCCGCCCACATGATGAGCACAGCACTCCGTAACCTTCACTCTGCACTCTCGTCCAATGACCAGGCGAGAAAGAATGCAACACATTTTTGGCAAACAAAGCGAGCAGTTCGACATTTCTCATGTGTTTTACGTTTTGTGCTCAAGAGTATGCTCCTATACACAGTGTGGGTCCTCTGTGCAACTGTATATTGCATTTTGGTACATGTGTACAGGAGTTGGAGCTGACGTGTGGAGCGGTAGGGTCGCTGGGCGCCGTAGGTTGGGTGTGTGAGAGGAACACTGATCTTCCTCGCTCCACCCTCTCCTCCCTCCTCTCTCTCCCTCCCCACCTCTCTTTTCTCAAGCCCCCAGTCGCCTCGTGCAGTGAGGTTGGCGGCCATTTTACCTACTTTCTCTCCCCTTAGTTCCCCAGTCCTCAGTCCAGTGGGTGTGGCGGCATGGAATGGGGACCACTGGTGGAGTGGTGCGAGGCCCAGACCTGGACTGCCACTCACTACTGTCTCCGTCACCAGTCCCAACGTGAGGCTGGTGACGTGAGGAGTGACGACGGGTGTAGATGGGAGATCTGTGATATCTGGGAGCTGTGTGCTGAGAGAGTGGATTGTGTGACAGGTCGTCAGCTCCCCACATTGCTGGACTGCCTGTGCCTGGCCTTGCCCTTCGTACGCCTCTCTCTAGCTCTCTCTCTCTGGCGTTGTTTACCCTCGGCGCGCATGCGCAGCGAGGGTACAGTAGTAGTTGGGCTGTCTGTCTGTCTGTTACTCTATATCTCACTCCTCGAACGTCTGTTCGTCCCAGAAACGTTACCATCTACCCAACGGGCGACGAAGGTCAGACAATAAAGGCGGTTTTCTCTAAAAACGCTCCGCTAGAGCAGGAATGCAGCGGCTTACTACGGCATGATCGATCCGCGTGCTCTGCGTATGTACCTCGGAGGCACCAGAATATGCAACGCAGGGCGTGTATCGCCTCTCGCGTGCTATCTAGTAGTGTAGTTAGCCCGCGTCAGACTGCGCGAGCTGGCAAGAGACCACGAGTAACAGCTAAAACTAAACCCAGCCCATCAATTAGTGGTGCAGCGCATGCGTTTACTTACTCGCGCGCGTCGCGTCACAGTGCGCGTGCGCGCCCAGGGTGTTTGCACTTCAGTGCTTTTCATTCACCATCTGATCAAGTAATGGGTGGTGGTCTGATGGATAAGCACCCCCTCTCTTGATCGTGAGGTCCCTGGTTCGATCCCGGGGGGTGTGCGCCTTTTTTACAATGGCGTAATATATAGGAGTGTTGGTATATATGGAACGTTTTTTCATCACTTCTCCAGGCCAGCCCGAGTGGCTAGGTGGTTAGAGTCGTGGGGACTGACACCATAGGTGCGCACTAAAGTGTCAGGTGGTCCAGAGCATTGGCTGGGAACAGCTCTGGTTCCTCCCCTTACCCACAAATCTACCACTGACCCATGCTTCTCAAAGGGCAGCGTACAGTTCGGCATAGCACTGCGTCCGTAGACGTCTGTCTGGAGAGATGAAGGGCTGGGCGTTTTTTTATAATTTTTTTCAACCTTTAGGCTTTTTTTTGCACTAAACAATCCACAGGTAATACGAAAATTAATAGAGAGATGAAAGGTTGGCAATTTTTCAACCTTATATATTTTTTCGCCCTCAAACAGATATAGGGCTGGCCATTTTTTTCACCTATTGATAGATAATCCATGCATAACATGCTGTTCTTTTTGATGCATGGTCAAGACCATCAATTGTGGTGATGCCACACTCGTGTATGGGTTCCACATTTCTATAGAGTGTGCCGAGGGTTTGCACTTCATTGAGAATATGTTGTTTTGTCTGTAGGTTGAAGTCAGTAACATCTCGTCCACTGTTACCGGGTGCTGGAGGATTGTGAAAGACTGTCTGTCGTCTCTACCTTCCTTCCTATCTCTCCTTCTCCATCCTCACATTCTCTTCAGTTCTGACTCCCTACTAGTGGAGCTTGTAGGGAAGGTGAGCCAGACATCTTTGCTGGCACATGTGTCTGTGGCTCCAGCTGTGTAGTGAGGTGTTGGAGCTCGGAGAGAGGAGAGCTGGACTGACTAATTTCCTGGCCTCCACTCTGTGTGCTAGCTGGAGGGGAGAGTGGGAGAGAGGGGGAGAAGAGAGAGTGGTCCAGAGCCTACTGAGACACAGACAACTCATTCTTGAGCTCTGCTGTTTCGGAGGTATAGGCATCAGGAGTATGAGGCATGTTGAAGATATTGCAGTGGACCTGTGGGCGTTTGTTCATTATACGCTCCACAGGTCACAGGAAGATGGGGAGGAGTTTGTGCGGTTGCTAGGAGACCAAGTGGCAGCAAACTCTGCTGCCAACAGGTTGGCTGACAGTATCCTTGGGATATATTAGCTCCACCCACTGTTTATCCAGTTGCCTCCATGGAGACTGCAGAGTGCGGCTGACTATCCTAAGCTTCCTGGTGGGTGTGGCATCAAGGCGAGGCTCCTCCCACTTCTTGTCTCAGTTCAGCAGAGAAATCATGGAGAAGGTAGAGATGAGCAAGTCTTCCTGGTGTTACTGCTGCAGCCCCACAGCTGTCTGACCTGACTGCCACCAAGCCTCGCTACTTCATCAATTCCCTGACTCACCGCCGGAAACAGCGACTGCTTCAGACTCTTCTCCTTCTCCTGCCACACCTCCCTTCTGTCAGACCATGCCCTCTTGCCACACCCACTCCTTATGATCTCTGCAGGAGGGAGACGAGGATCTGGCGGGGAGAACCCTGCAATTACTGGGCTCTGACAACCAGCCGTCAGTCAGACACCTCCTGGAGTGGACAGCTAGTGTGCTCCTGGCCAGGCAGCCTCACCTCGTCTCCTCTCTACTCCTACCCGCCCTTCTCCCAGTCAGCTGAATGTCATGTGACTTGTATCTGCAGTCATGTGATCTTCACAGGACTCACAGTTCAGGCTGTCACGGCTGCAGTCTGTGTTCACAGTGGCCCTCCACCTCACACAGGCCTGGGACCACGCACACACAGTGAGTGAGTTGACTTCTGCGACCGTCAGTCCACTAGTCTGGATTATGCCATTTTTGTTTGTAGACGGTACTGTCAATAGTGTATTTGTGAAGAAATAAATTCTGCCGTTCAACTGTTCGTAGTACGACATTTGTTGTGCTGTTGGCGCCTTTGATACACCCACACATCGTGCTACAAGATCTATTACAATATTGCAGGTGAGATATTGCAAGACTCTGTTGCCTCTAGTCTTTCCCTGGACCACATGCCACCACTTCTTGGTACGATTGTATGCCCAGAAGACAGCTCAGGTTGTGTGGGAGGAGGGAAGGGAGGGAGAAGAGGGACAGTTGGAGGGTTTCATCAACAGTTGCATCATGTTCATGAGAGAGCACAGGTAAGTTCTCCATGGAGACCATCGGTGTATATACTAGTGCCTCCAGACAGCTTATTCTGACAATAGTCATTCTGCTGACAACATAAAATAACTCACTATGTGTGGATGGCTTAAGAGTGACCATGAATAATTAATAGGGCAAAAAGCCATAGGGAAAAAGAAAGAAGAAAAAAACGGCGATGGCAGGAACTGAACTTGTTACCTTCTCTCCACATACCAGTGATGCAGCGAGGTCCTCTCACAAGCTAGAGGCCAACGTTGGACTCTCTCTACTCAGACCTTTCTCTGACCTCAGTGTCCAGGTATATCCGGAGAGGGTGGCTTTGGCTAACTGCTGGGGAAGTTTGTGATGTCACTGAATTGTGTGTATGTGATTTACGGCCAGTCATGTGGCTTCCCATGACATCATTTTGTTGTTTTATGATGTCGTTTCTGGCGAGTACAGTTCTTTGTTCCTCTAGGCTTTGTTCGACTATCTTCCTAGACTGTGTGGGGCGGTGGACAGTGAGTGTGTGAGTGTGGAGGAACTTCGCCATTTCTGGGAGCAGTGGGGAGGAGGGGAGGGGGGAGTAGGTGAGAAGGTTCCACTCTATTGCGACAATGGTGCCCTGCGGGAAATGGTGAAGAGGGGAGGTGTGGGGGGAGGGGAGGGAGGGAAAGGAGATGATACTCGGAGCATAGCCCACCAGGTGAGTCCTCACTGCCCCTGATCTCCACCTCACTGCCCCCTACTCTCAGTTGGGGGTGGGGGAGGACGGAGTTGAGGGAGAAGGTGATAGAGGAGACATACAAAAGAAGATCACTCGCTGGGCCAGTGGAGCAGGAGTTATGGAGGAGTTATTTCCAGGCCGACGGTTGCCAGTGGAAACAAGCAAGGTCGCTGGTGGATTGGTAGTCGTGGCTTCTCTTCTCACCAAAATCCCCAACTTGGGAGGTGCGTCACCTTTAACCTCTGCTTTGCATGGTTGCATCGCTGTCTCTAGTTTCTGCTGAACACGAGTGTAGCTAATGTGCAGCGTGTTACCAGGTGTCTGTGTTGGTATTTAGTAGTTGTAGGTCTACTGTGTTTAGCGGCACCTGCTGTCTGGTGCTAACATGCACACTGCACCACTTTAACTGTATGGTTGTTAACTTGGCACACATTAATTGCCTGTTTTGCTGAGTGTCAATTCTCAACTGACAATCCTGGCCAGGGAATTGGGTACCTCATGGTAATGAACTGGCGAGGTGCCATCCAGGGAGGGTGGTAGAGGGAGAGAGTCAAAGTGTAGCTGGGTAGGAAGGGGTGTGGTGATGTGTAGGTGTGTATGTTGGCACTGGGCGTGCGCCATCAGATTGTGCCACTGCCAAGGAAAACTGTGAAAAGTGTGAGGTGTTGGTATGTATTAGCTACTGCCGCAGGACTGTGCCGTACCTGTGAGATATTTGGAGCGGGTCAGCTGGTGGTGAGCAGTCTCTCTGTGGTGGACGATCCTCAGTTCTCAGCTCTCAGTGTCTCCGCGCAGCACTGGCTCAACATATCGGAGGTCAGAGTGCACTTCACCTCAGGCAGTATGTGAGTGTGTGACGGGCACAGGTTCGTCTGCCCAAACTTCCCTCTTACCTACTGGCCATGCGTCGTGCTGGGTACCAGCTGGTAGGAGCTGAGCAGACTGCGCAGAGCAAGTCCATTACCTCCTATTCCTTCCAACCACTCACTCTACTGCTACTGGGGTAAGCTCTCTTCCTTCTCTCCTGAATCATAGTGATGTATTATAACATGCAGGAATGAGAGGGAAGGCATTCCAGTACAGCTGCTGCAGCTGTTGGATGAATGTGTGGAGATTCCTCAGCTGGGGGTGATCAGATCCCTCAATGTCCATGTCAGTGGAGCTCTCCTGGTCTGGGAATACTGCAAACAACACCTCCACACATCTTCTACCTGACTCAAATTCTTTTAGCTCGCCCAAATCACATTACTCTAGCTTACCCAACACACACTTCCAACACCGTTTTTTCCCAGCCAAGAAAGCTATCCGTGCCGCACTTGTGCGTTTACATAACTTATGTGCTTATATTACTAGACAAAATCTTGCAACGCGGGGTGTTCCCTGGACCTGGCCTGTTTTCCCTGTGTGTGTGTTGTCTAGTAATGTTTTCCACTACCTCCGTAAACATATGCTCCCAGCCTCTGGTCCTTCATGCATTTTCACACACTTTGGAAGCTGCCTTTGTCAGAGATAACAAGATGTTCTATCCCAGCCTCTCGCTTCCAATATAACACCTCTGCCAACCATATGGGCTGCTGCCGGCCTACTGAGCATTCCTCTCTCTGTTTGTTTACAAACAAGTTTAAGTCATTTGCCGGGTGGAGTGCCAGCTTCGTGCCTTTTGACTAACTACATTTCGATTGAATTTTCGTGAAAAAATATTTGGCAAGTTACAAAATCAACATAATATGGGATTCCTCTGTAGATATAAACAGATCTTTAAAAATGTGGAACTGATAAATGGCAAGTGGTGTAAGTTGCAGTGTCTCTGAGCGGCTGAAGGAAGTTAGGTAAAGTCCGGGATCTGCTCAAATCGGAGCTTGAACTTCCCCTCAGAGGGCGCGGCAGACCGGTGGCAGTCAGAGCTGAACTCCAGACTCACTGCAGAGCTGTTGGTGATGTGGATGGGGTCAAATAAGGTGGAGCCGCACAGCACATATAGTGGCTCTGACTCCTGCTGCCTGTAGTGCTGCCTCACTATGATCTTGTCCCCCACTCTGCATTTCCCTTCTGCTGGAAGGTTCATCTCCTCTGGACTGAGCACCAGTTTATGGCCTGGCCTCACCGATATGGTATAGGAGCACCTGATGCTGGGAGGATAGGCTAGTGGGTATTGGGGAGATAGGATGACTCCAGTCTGCCGGCTGAAAGTGGTACGCCCACACATCTCAACTGCAGGAAATAGACTTTACGTCAACTACACACTCAATGCATACTGGATAATTGTAATGGGAGGAAAGGGAAGATTTGTCTTGGCTCCCTCAACACACACACTATTAGGTGTACCTGCAAAGAAGGTGAGGTAGTTCAGCTGGAAGCCTTTGCGGCGCTGCTGCCAATCGCTGCTGAACTCCACCAGCATGTGTCTCCCACTGCTGCGAACCGTCGGCATCCTGGTCCCACAGAACCGACCAATCAGAGGGGAGTAGCGAGAGAGGCCGTCATAGACTGCCACCCAGTCATGGTTGCAGCTGTACCTCGTGGTGCCTGACTCCAGCTCAAACATGTCTCCCGTGTTGCCGAGGGCGATGCGTCGGATGGGGTCAGTGGAGATCCTCCAAACACACCGCAGGCTGTTGCTGTAGTGATTGGGGTACCCCGGAGATGAGAGCACTCCAAATGGTGCAAAGAGAACTCCTCCACAAAACTCTGTTTCTGTAGGCAAACATGAAAAAAATTAGAACTGCTTAGCCACGTCCTTGGAATCCTGTTGTGAGTTATGAATGCACAAGTTTTCATTAAATAGTTTGTGCTGCACATCTGCTTGGCAGCATCAGTTGGCTTTGCTCTCTGGAGCAATAGTTATACCAGCCAATAACGACGAGGGCTAACTGAACTCATGCACAACAGTGTTGATCACAGTAATTATGGAGCTCACCTCGCTCACAGCACAATCCAAAGAAGCCTGACTGGCAGATGCATTCTCTCGTCTTGCTGTTGAATATACCTCCATTCATGCAGACGAACGGGCGACAGCTACGATTTTGGGAAAGGAGCAGAGGCTCCTGGCAGGTGTCCTCAGTGCAGCAGCGCACCTCTCGGTCGCGGTAGCTGACTCCGCAGGTGCAGTCGCGGAACTGTCCCGTCCATCTCGGGCACTGAGCGAAAACCAGCAGAACGCAGGCGGCCAGTGGCAACAGCAAATATCTCTCCAGCATGGTTGATCCGAAGTAGGGCTTACTCTCAAACACCGGCGCTTTTATCACTTGCACTGCAGCAGCAGCGTAAACATAATCCCTCTGCTCACTTCACGGGGGTGGAGCTGGAAGATCCATGCGGTATTGCGCATGCGCATGAGTGCGTCTGATGGAGCGTGTGTGTCCGCGCTGCCGGACTAGCTCCTACGACAAGCCGTCTCTGAAGCTACTGGTGAATGTCTGTGGCCATCATATGTAAGGGGTAGACGGGTTAAAGACCCGTTGTTTGATTCAGATATTGCATGTAGCTGCGAGTCGTGTGTGGATGTGGTGTTCGCGCGACCGACCGCACCCTGCCCAGAGTGCGGCGTGGCCCTGCGCAGAAGTCTGTACAGAGCCCAGCAATTCGAGGACCCGATGGTAGAGCGAGAGGTGGACATTCGTAAGAAAGTCTTGCAAGAGTGAGTTGCAAAAGAGGCAAAAAATACAATTTACATTCTTTCTCCCGTTCAGCTACAACCAGCTGGAAGGGGATTTCCCCAGCCTCCAGGCCTACAACGACTATTTGGAAGAGGTTGAGTCAATTGGTTAGCCCCTAGCTAACGAATCACTAATTTGTTTGTCATTGACCTACCTCCACTCAGTGTACAACTTGTGCAACGGAGTGGATGTGGAGGTTACGAGGGAGAAGATGGAGCAGTACCGGAGAGACCACCAGACATTCATCATGAAGAACAGGGAGAAGAGGGTGAGGGTGACGGGTTGGGGGTGTGGTCTGCCAGCTTCTCTCTCTGCAGCGGCAGCTGGAGAGACTGACACAGCAAGAGGTGAGGGAAGAGCAGCAGCTACAGGAGCTGCGGAACCGACAGGCCCTTGCCTCTGCCAAGGGAGAGGCCAGGGAGAAGAAGAGAGACATGCAGAGCGTCATACATGAGTTGGTGAGGTCTCTAAAGGTGGCTGTGTTGTTGTGGGTAGTGTGTGTATTGTCAGATGGTGTCAGAGAGACCAGCGGAGGAGGTGGTGGCCAGCCACGCAGCTGCTGCAGCTCAGTCTGAGGCAGAGCCAACCACCAAGCACATTACCTTCCCTACCTTCCAGAGGAGCATGGTAAAGTCAGATTCACTCATTTCATCAGTGGAGTTACAGACGGTGGTGTGCAGGGTACAGCAGTGTTTGACATGGTTCCAAGCACAAAGGAGAGGGAGAACTATACCTACCAGCCTCCCAGTCAGAATCTGCTGGGGCCTGGAGTCCCTGATCTCGAAGAACTAGGGGACTATGGGTAAAGCCATCAGGTGTGAGTTAGTACACTCCTCTTGGTGTTCTGTCCCACCAGGTACTTGACACATGTGAGAGAGGTGGAGATACCACATGTGGGTAGTGGGTACATGGCTGCCTATGGCTGTCACAGAGCCCTGCAGGAAGCCTTCTCTGGACTCTTCTTCAGCACCCAGGACCAGAGGAATGACTCTCAAATTTCATGTGTTTCCCCAGATGTTGTATGATGCACACGCAGATCAATTTCTTTATGCCACATTCGTAACAGTGAGCATAAGACTTAGACCAGTGACACTAGTATTGTATGTAGTCGACTGGAAGAGAGAAAGGAAAGAGTTTGGTCATGTGATTGTCACATGATCTGAGTTAGGTCTCAGTATTTGATAAGTTTAGCTGGTGAACGAGCAGCCTTCACTAGTGATCCCTTTCCCAGCTGGTCCCGAGCCTGCCTGTGTAGAGGCGATTGTCTGACACAATTAGAGAGACCAGAGAGAGTGTGAACTGACCTGGTGCCCTTGTCAGCTTTGAAGAAAAGTTCCCCGGGACCGAGGGTTGCGGGCGATGGAGGACGAGCTACCTTCACCTTCCTCTCTGGCTCTGCAGTGGGGGGATAGAGGATGAGGAGGAAGACATGAGAGCTGGAAACCTTACCCTGAGGCCCTTCCAACTTCCTCTTGCGAGACTCTGGGTACGAGAGAGGAGGAGAGTGAACTGCATCCTGTAATATTAGCTCCAGTCAACCTCACCGGAGACAGGAGGAGGAATCACACCATTGCTGGGTGGCACATACACTCCTGAAGAAGAGGCTAAGTGGGTCTTTGCTGCTCTGCTGTCTGTTATCTGCCTATTCATTGTCTTTGGAGGAACGTATGTCCCAGAAGCCACTACCTTTGTCTTACTGGCCTGGTCACATTCAGAGACATTACTGGTCTGGGAACACGAGTCAGTGGTGTGTACAGACCTTGGCAGCCTTGTAGCCGGGGGAGATGGGGGTGGGGGAAGGTCTGACAATCAGCTGTTTGACAGGGGAGGTGTGGACACTCTGTCTGTTGAGAGTAGAGGCTAGACTGTGAGAGGTGAAAGGCCTGCGCTGGGCTCTTCGTCTTCCAGCTATGAACCGCTGTAGGGCTTCCACTGATAAGGCAGGGAGAGGGGCTACAGGTATGTGACCAGACGCACTCTCTGACTTACACGAAGGTTTGGGAGATGACTTAGGAACAATGGCAGTAGAGGTAGGATGGCGAGCAACTCGCATGAGGCTCCGCCCACCCATTCCCTGTCTTTCAAAGAGGGTGTGAGGAGAGGGTCTCATGAAGAATGGGACTGGAGGAATGATGTCGCCAGACTTGCGGGCTGTCACATGTCTAGGAGCCTTCTTGGACGACTTTGGTGGACCTGACGGCCGATCTAGTGGAGAGGATGACGTCATTATGACATCATTGACGGAGGTGTATAATTATACCTTTGTTGAGTTTTCTCTGGAGCAGAGCGGTGGCAGTCATGACTCCAGCTTTCTTCTCACTTGCCTCTGTATACACAGAACATGGATGAGTGGGTGTGGCCGTGCAGGGGAGCACTCACCCCATCTTGTCGGCAGTTTCAGCCCTCCATACTTCCTCCAGTAGGTGTAGCACAGATTGCACAGTCGGCAGTGCTCGTGGGCGGGGCCCCACATGTACCAGCGAGCTGCTGTAGTTGCTAGGCAACTCTCACAGCCTCTCTCACCGTCAGCAGTCCGAGGGACGTCGTTGGACGGGGGGAGCAAGGCAGGGATGACTCCGGATGATGCTGCCTTCCCCGAGAGGTCTCTGGGTCCAGTCTGGGCCCCACTCGGGGTTCGGAGATGAACTATTACTTCCTTCAAGTCGTTCTGCTTCTCTATCATCCGATGCCTTTTCTACACAACAGGGCCACACGTTACACTCTCATTCGAATTAGTGGGCGTGGCTTACCTGGATCTGGTAACGGTCTGTCGTCTTCCACATGTAGTAATATGCTGTGATGCTCTTTACTGGTTTCCACGACAACTGTGAAACAGATACGGTGAAAAATGTACTGAATGTCTCCGAAGGTCACCTCACATATTTCTTTTGTATGTAGAGAAAGTCTTTCTGTTCTTGTAGACCTTCTTCAAACCTCTTGGCCTCCTCTGAGGGAAGGAGGAGAGGAGGTGAGGTGGTGAGAGGTCTAGTATCCACAGTACCTTGTGTCCAGGCCTCAAGTTCATCAGCACACAGGACAGGACCTCGAGGTACAAGGTAGCTGGTGGCCTGTGTGATGTCATAGTCATTCTGGTGGAGGGTGTCCATGGCATGAAACTAGAGGAATGAAGAGGAGTAAAGTGGCACACTCTGTCAGCAGTGGGTCACCCACCAGAGTGATGTCTCTGGATGCTGCAGCTGCTCCCAGTCGGAGACTGATCTGAGGTTTCTTTGCTCCGTCGAGGAGAGCTCTGGCAAAAGTTCCAATGGAGCGAGCGACGACGAGGAACTGCTCCACCTTGTGGTCTGGCATCTTGTTGGGCTCCCAGACCTTGGTGGCCAGGTGGGATGGCTCCTCTCGAGACTCTGAGGGACATGAGAAGGGTTTAGGGAGGGGAGTGGCAGGTGTAGAGGACTCACCAGGAGGGATGTATGGAGGAACCTCTGCCTGGAAATCAGCTCCAACTCTTATATCTCCCTTGTCCACTAGTAGATTCTTCACATTGGGGTCGTAGACCATGGAGTAGAAGAAGGTGTCCTCGCTGACCAGGTAAGTCCTGATATCCTCCAACTCATTGAGGAGAGTCACTGAACACTTGCCACTAACATGCAACACGTGTGAGGCTCTGATCAGGCAAGACCCATTCCCCTTCACCTACCGGACCATGTCTATCTTGTAGGTCTCAATCTGTCTGGAGAGGAAGAGCTCTCTATGGCGGACCAGATGTCTCTCCTGTTCGCTCAGCTTGTCGAAAGAGAAGCTAGACACGGCCACTCCCTCCAGTTCGTTCTCCTCCTCCACCACAACTGAATGGAGGTCACACTCAAGTTAACCACACACCCACTCACTCACACACAGACTGACTGGAATGTCTGTCTGCACACGACAGCACGCTAGGCGGAAGATCCTTTCTTCGGTAGAAACATTTCGCAGCTACCTCAACACTACCCTTTGTGTTCTGAGAGATAGAGATAAATAAGCTTCATTGCGATGAAATTATGAGCTCACTTTCCGAAGTTCTTCAATCTTGCAGATCTGGTAGGGCATGGGTGGAGGGAATACCTCCATGTAAATACACTCTGTTTTATAAGAGAGAAAAAGGGAAGTTTTAGCAAAGCCTAATAAAAGGTTTTGTGCTTACCTCCAATTCTGTACAGCCCTTCTGCCATGGTTCACTGGCACTTCAGTATCAACGGGAAATTCTTAGAGGGTGTCCGGAGGCTTCGGCAGAAGCGAGATGCCGGAGCGTGCAAGAGTGAAAGTCGGAGTATAAGCTCAGGGGTGGGCTTATACACGGTAAGTTTTGTTGCGCAAAATTAGAATGGAGATGCGATGGGCGTGGTCATACGTGACGTCAATTTTAATACCGTAGTTACGGATGCTAGTGAAGAGAAAGCTGGGAGTCACACCGCAACTTACGGGATTTAGAGCAAAGCGGACTGCTCAGAGGGTCTGGCCACGTATCCTCGGGTTCTGTATGACCGTTACGTCAGTGGCCGGGTCTTCGGAGCTCCGAGATATTTGTTGAAGACTGATATTTCGGTCCACCTAACGTGAACTGTGTGAATACCAAACCGTCCAAGTCCTCTGCGCACTTCTTAGCCACTTAAAAGTCACTAGACCTGCGTGCCCAAACGTTCTTTGTCCCATTTCTCCCGTGCCAGAGCCAAACACACTTGGCTCTCGGCAGTGAGGTCCTGCCGCCCTGGCCTCTCCTGGAAGCCACCGAGCAGAAGGCGGAGGGCTCGATCCCCCACCCCTCAAGCGGGCGCGTCTGTGTGGGCCAAGTGAGTTGAAACTGCCAGGTGGGTTCCAACTGGACATGCAGACTGCTGGCAACGGGAGTGTCATTGAGAATGGCAGCACAAGCAATGGGGTGGCCCCTCTGGCCAACGGCTGTGGGGGGGAGGTGGGCGAGGAAGGGAAATTCAAGACACATTACAAGCTTGGTCAGGCCCTGAGTGAGACGGACAGTGACATCATTCGTCTGATTGGCCAGCACCTGCGAGAAATGGGGTTACAGTGAGTTTGGCCCCAATTTGTGTGTCCTTCAGTGGTTGTGTTTCTCTCTGCAGCTCCACTCTGAGGCAGTTAGTGCAGGAGTCTGGTTGCTCCATGGAACACCCCAAGGCTGCAGTGTTCAGAGCACATGTCCTTGCAGGCGAATGGAAGGAGGTATATACCTACGTTGGCTTTGGTGTTGCTTTTGCCACACATCAGCTCAGGACAGATGTATAAATCACTTCACTACATTGTGTATTCTCTGTGGTGGACACTTGTGTTGCACACTGCATGTGTTTGGTGTATGTATGTGTGCTGTCTTGCAGGCCAGTCAGGCAGTGGATGACCTGGCACCGATGCTCCCTCAATCCTCCTCAGTCAAGGTAACTGATGGACCCACTTATTTGTGACTCTGTATTTATGCCTTCCCTCCACCAGCACATGCAGTACCTACTACTGAGAGAGAAGTACCTGGAGTTGCTGGAAGGTGGCCAGGAGATGGCAGCTCTGCATTGTCTGCGGCACGAACTGGTCCCTCTCCCTCTGCACCACGCTGACAAGGACATCCAGACACTGACCAGGTCTGACACTCAGCTCTGTCATCTTGAGCACTCAGTGGCTCTCTCTGTTTCAGCTACATGATGTATTCTGACAAGACAGAGCTTCGGTCTGCAGCCAACTGGCAAGGGGTCAAAGCTGGCTCTCGGGAGAGCCTCATGGAGCAGCTGCAAGGTTTCACTCCCCCCTCTCTACTGCCTACTAATCCCTGCCTTTCCCAGGTTTCCTCCCTCCGTCCGTTATGTTGCCAGCTCACCGACTGCCTCATTTGCTGAGTCAGGCAGTAGACCTGCAAGTCAGTCGCTGCCCGTACCACTTCGAGCCACACCCTCCCTCCTTTTCCTCCCAAATTCGCTACTCCCTACTCACTGACCACCTGTGTCCCAGGTAAGTCAGGACTCTGAGTCTGTGGGAGAGCATGTCATGTGATGCACCGCAGGAGTGAGTTTCCCTCTGAGACAGTCCATATCCTGACAGCTCACTCTGACGAGGTATGGTTCCTTGTCTTTAGTCACGATGGGTCGAGACTGGCCTCAGGGGCCAAAGACGGAGAAATCATACTCTGGGACATGAAGGTTTGTTCTCTAGTTTGTGGTTAGTCTACTCACGTACTCCCAAAGGGGTGAAATGTACAAAGTCAGAGTGTATTACACCTTCAAGGACAGACTAGAGCTGTAGATACACTTGTCAAAATCAATTTTAAAAATGCATACCCACACACACACACACACACGCCCATACATGATTAACTAAAGCTGACTTTATCCTCTCCTAATGACTTGTGATTTGGCTGCTCTTCATAGGGAGAGAGTCCCAAGGTCCAGCACAAGATGAGAGGCCAGACCGACGGCATTGCCCACCTGGCCTGGAGTCCAGACGACTCTCTCCTGCTCAGCTGTGGCAGAGAAGACTGCCCTGGGGCCATTGTCTTCAACACTCAGGTATCCCCACACCTCTTGTCTTCCTCCTTTATTCAGGTTCTCTCTCGTGTAAGCAGAGTGGGGAAGTAAAGTGTCGAGTGCAAAATTCTGCAGAAGACAGCCTCACATGTGGGGCGTGGTCTCCTGATGGCCAACATTTCTATGTGGGAGGAACAAGAGGCCAGTTTCTGGAGTGTGTAAGTTCTCTCCCTCCACCATCTCTCTCTTCTCTCAGCCTCCCTCTGTATGTACTGCAGGCTCTTGACGGCTCAGTCTCCTCTAGTTGGGAGGGGATTCGAGTGAATGCTCTAGCAGCCCACTCATCTCCTCGCTCAGTGTATGCTGCAGACACTCACTGCAGAATTCGCAGATACAACTTCCAAGACATGTCATATGACAATCTGTGAGCAGGTCGTACCGTGTGCGGGTCTCTGTGCCACCCTCTCTCTTTTTCCCACGCTCAGGATTGAGGAAGACCATTCCATCATGTCTTTCACTGTGTCGAGAAGTGGCAGGAATGCTCTGCTGAATGTGGCTAACCAGGTACATATGTACATGGCAGGTTGTAGGGGAGCTGAACCGTCTCTCTCTGTGGTGTGTGTGTGTGTGTTGCAGGGTGTTCATGTGTGGGACCTGAATGACCGCTGTCTTGTAAGACGCTGTCACGGTGTCACTCAAGGCCATTATACCATTCACTCGTGCTACGGAGGACTCAATGATAGTTTCATAGCCAGTGGAAGTGAAGGTGAGTTAGTATTGTGTTCTTGGACCTTTGTGGTACTGTATGTGCAGATGGGAATGTGTACGTGTGGAGGAGTGGGAAAGAAAAACCAGCACTAGTGTTGAGAGGTCATTCCCGCACTGTCAACTGCGTGGCCTGGAACCCAGTGTACCCTACCACTCTAGCCTCTGCTAGTGATGATGGTGAGATTGAAGACTGCCTCAGACCACTGTTGTGAGTTGTAATGTCTGTGGTGTGCAGGAACAGTACGGGTGTGGGGGAAAGAGAAAGCTGCTCTACGACAGAGACAACTTGCTGCTGCCTCAGAGCCCACTGGTATTACAGGCAATGGTGATGTTAGTGAGGTGAGCTGACTTCTTGTCAGGAGCTCCAGTAAAACATCAGTAATATTTCTGTCCTGGGTAGAGCACAAGTGAGAGGAGAGGAGAGTTGGGGGGAGGGGGTGTGGGGGGCCTCGCCACCTCTGCCAGCAGTCTGGCTAGTGAGCAGTTGGATGAAAGTCTGAGTGCTGCATCTCTGGCAGAGGTGGGCAGTGACTGGCAGCTGGCAGTGGACTCCTTGACTTCGTCCATGGACAGCTCCGTGGGTGTGCAACCTCTCTCTCTGCCCAGTCTCTCCTCCAGACCACTGCCTCCTCCCTCTGACCAGCTCCCTGCGGACGAGGAGGACGAGGACCAAGTAACAGGTGAGTCTGTCTTTCCCAGCATCCCCGACTAACTCAACCAACACTTCCTTACACCTCAGGCTCCATATCCACTGAGGTCTAGTTCAGCAGCCTGAACTCTGGTGTTTTATCTCTCTCTCTGATCAAACTTCTAAACCTGCACTCATCTCTGAGACCCTCCTGTCATTATTACCCATCCGAACTCAATGCTGTAATGTGATATCATCCTAGTATATCATAATATTGGTGATGGGAGACAAAGCCAGAACACAGTAATGTCAGTTGTTGTCAGAGAGATAACAGACACAGAAGTGGGATGAGGAGAGGAGTACTAGTGATGTCCCAGAAGGGTGCCAGGCGAGGCGTGTCACAGAGGAAGGAGGGTTTCCGGGAACACACACACTCACACTACCAGCAGGGGACCATAGATAGAGTCTGCTGTTGCCAGTGGCAATGGCAAGGCGGGGCTGGGTGGGGTCCCAGCTGATGTCCTTCACCGGAGACGTCTGGAGAAGAAGGGCAGTCAGTCGCAGCTCCTCCATGCTCCACACCCACACTGCAGTGGGCATGTTGTCATTCCTGGTGGCAAGGTAGCGAGAGTCGGGGGAGAAGGAAGCCACACCCACTCCAAGATGAGGGTTGGGTTTCTCAGGGTTAGGTCGAGAGGATTGGACAGCTACAGGCAGCGGAGGAGTCTCGAAGTGGCTCTGTCGGGCAGGCAGGGAGCGGGCGAGAGGGACAGCTCCATTTTCCACCTCCTGGTACACAACTGCACCAGCTCTGTCGACACTGGCAGGGTGAGAGTGCTCAGCAACCGTCCGCCATGTGAGATGGTTCAACACTCGCAGCTTCTCGTCAAAACTTCCAATGGCCAGAAACTGGCCAGACGGAGCCCAAGTCACTGTCTTTACTCCCAGTGCATGTTCATATGCCGAGTAAGTGGCGAGGCAACGTCCGTCCATGCTGTAGAGGAGGACCTTATAGTCCAGTACACAGTCCCAGACTGCCAGGAGACCTCCGTCAGGGGACCAGCTTAGGCCTGCCAGATCCTGGGTGGCCACCGGGAAATGCTGCACCAGCTGCCAGCCACTGCACTCAAAAACACTGAGCACATCTTTACAATCTCTTCGCTCGGCAAGAGCCATGTAGGAGCCATCGGGGGAGAAATCAAGGCCAGCCTGTGCAAGTTTTGGGTACTTGATGAGGGAGACTGACTTGCTGACCAGAGACCAGAGAGTGAGGTGGAGAGAGAAGTCGGCCAGTGTCAGCAGATGTCTGCTGTCTGGGGCCCACCAACACCACGTCAAACCAGCCAGTCCGCCATCTATCTTACAGGTCCACGAAGGCTGCTCTATTGACCACACCTGGAAATTGGGAGGTTGAATTAGGACTTAGTCACACACACACACACCCAGCTTCACCTGGACGATGCCTCTCTTGAACATGGCTGTGAGGATGAAGAGAGAGTCGGGCGACCACAGAAGTTGTTGAACAGGCTCCAAACACGTGTGGAGGTGCATGATTTGCAGAGAAGACACGTCGCGGACCACCAGACGGTGCTGACTACAGCTGGCTAGGAGAAGACCATCAGAAGAGTAGGCCACAAGTGCTCTAGACGCCGAAAAACTCTCAGAGAAGTTCATACTTTCCCGCGTAAACCGCCCCCATTTAGTGCGCACCCTACTTATGGCGACATGCTCAGATGAAGATGGAAGCCTTGTGAATGGGAAGCGGTTGGTAGAAGAGGAGGAAGAGGCTGATAAATGTGTTGAAAAAGAGAAGGAAAGAAATGTGGAGTGTGGAGATATAGTGCTTCAATTGTAAGACTAGCCTAACCTGCATTGGGTGATGTTCCTTGTTGTTTCAGACCTCAGTCGCTGCAGCTCCAGACAGGGTGTTGGGCTGAATTTGGACCTTCTAACTACCTGAAAGGCTGCAAATGGTCAATGCAATAGTAATACACTTTCCTGTGTGGTACATGTACTTGCAGGGCTCCAGACGGTACCTGTCTCCTGGTGTCCAGTGCAGACAACAAACTGCGGCTGTTCAATCTCCCCACAGAGCTGTACTCGGGGCCTGTAGAGCAGCAGCTCCCTGAAATGGTGAGTTGCCAGCTATCAGTAAGTAGTGAGCCAGTGGAATGTAGAGTCCAGTGCTGAGTCTGGGTCTGGGAGAGACAGTCTATGACTTCTGCTGGTACCCTCTCATGTCCTCGTTGCTGCCCGACACTGCGTGGTAATTCCTTCCTCTCCCTCATCCCACACTCCTCATCTCCGCCTGGCAGCCTGGCCACCTCCTGTAAAGACCTGCCTGTTCAGCTCTGGGATGCCTTTGACCTGCAGAAGAGGGCCTCCTACTCTCCCCACAATCAACTGGTCAGCATCTAAACTGACAGCAATACCTGCATGATGACGTAGTCACCCAAAGTTACAGTTGATGCACTCTAAGTTTGCCTGAAGATCCATTTTAACTGTGGTGTGCATGCACAGCGAGGGTTATGGGCGTGTCTGCTTGTCTGTCCGTCTCTCACCACGTTTTCTTCCTCCACACACAAGAAATCAACCATTCGAGTTAAAAAAGGTTTTAGCTATTTTTTAAACCTTCAGGATGAGTTGGTGTCCCCACATTCCCTCTGCTTCAGTCTGGATGGCCAGAGACTCTACTGTGGCTTCAACAAATGTGTGCGTGTGTTTGAGACATGTAGACCTGGTGTGGACTGTACTACGATCCCCACACATGGTCAGTCGCACCAACTTCCAGTCCCAGCTCTGTCACTGGCTGTATTCTTCAGAGAAAAGATGGGGAGGCCAGAAAGGCATTGTCTCCACCATTGCCATGCTGCCCACTCACAGCCACATGTATGCAGTTGGTTCCTACTCCAGTCAAGGTAAGACACACACACAGTGTTCCTGTTCCCTGTGATGGAGTGTGTTCAGTTGGTGTATACAGTGACCTAGCCGACGGAGCAGTGCTGCTGTTGACTGGAGTTGGAGGTGGAGTCACTCACATTGCAGTCTCTCCTGATGGAAATCTTCTGTTTGTTGGTTTCCGTAAGGTATGCAGTCACCTGTTGTCTGCGGGCAACGAACCCTTACCTTCACCTCAGAGCAATGAACTGAAGGTCTGGGACCTGCGCAACCCTGGCAATCAGTTGGCTCAGCTACACAGACCAGTTTACACAAACCAGAGACTATACTTTGACCTCTACAGGCAAGTCTTTGTATGTTATTGTTTATTCCGTGGTGTGCATGTGCAGCGAGGGTTACAGTCCTTTGTTTGTCTGTGTGTATCTTTCTGTCTTTTCTGGCACTTTAGGTTACGAGGCAGATATAAAACTGCTCATACATCGAATGTGCTGGGTCCTGTAACAATGAGTTTCACACAACAAACAGCCTCAGGCAATGAAAACTTGTCCACGCCTATAACTTTAATGCTTTTCAGGGAGTGGTATGTGTGATGGCTTGGTTGTGATTTGTTTGTTGTGCCTTTGCCTGTATGACGTGTGTACATTATGGTGGGTGTTGTAGGGAGCACTGTCTGTTGAGTGGAACAGGAGATGGTGTGGTGTGTGGGTGGGACATCAGAGTCCTGGCGGGCAATGGTGATCTCTCTCCCCATTTCTCTCATGCCACCCACTCTGACCCTGTCACTGGCTGCAGGTAAACTCTCCTCTGGCGTCAATGAACGTCACCACATCTCTTCTGTCTGCAGTGTTCATCCTCACCGACCACTACTAGCTACTGCATCTGGCCAGAGACATTTCCCACTCCCAACAGTTGATGATCAGGAAGATGGGGAGGAAGAAACTCTTCAGGACAATTCTCTTAAAGTGTGGTCGTTGCTCCCGCTTCCTGATGATGATTCTTGAAATTTTTTATACGCATGCGCATCTTGTTGGGATGTTTCTGCGCATGCGTAATAAAACATGAGCGATTTCAAGTCGAGACTGGAGGGCGGGGAAGCTCTCTCCCTCCTTCGTGCACTCGGGGAAGGAGATCAGAGGTGGTTGTTCTACACAGACTTCTCGGAGTCGGAATGTATTTGGCAGATACGGTCAGTTTGTATTTGCTCTATAGCTAGGGCTGTAAGCATGGTGTATATCTCCAATAGAGTGAGTGATGGAGTGAAGGTGTGGAGTACTTGCCTTAGCGAGTCTGATGTGGTGAGGTCGCAGACAGCTTTGTACCATTGCTTCTCTATCACTGTCGCAGGAGAAGCTAGCAGGCAGACAGTCTGAGGCTAGCTTCATCAGTAATGTGAGGTGTGTCAGACAGTACACGCGCACTCTTTATAGCTAGACAGTTTTGAACATGTCCCATCAAAGTATTGGATGTGGTGCGATGGATAAGGACGTGCACACTAGATCGTGAGGTCCACCGTTGGATCTGGGTATCTTTTTTTAATGATGTAATGTGAGTGTTAGTATAAGAGGAACTTTTTTCATCAGCTCTCATGGCCAGCCCAAGAGTGGCTAAGTGGTTAGAGACGTGGGGACTGACACCATAGGTGCCTGGTTCAAATCCCGGACCCGCACTAAACTGTCAGAGCATTGGCTGGGAACAGCTCTGGTTCCTCCCCTTACCCATGAATCTACCACTGACCCATGTTTCTCAAAGGGCAGCGTATAGTTCGGCATAGCACTGCGTCCGTAGACGTCTGTTTGGAGAGATGAAGGGCTGGCCCAAAGATCCCAAAGATAAAAGTGTGCATAACATGCTGCCCATTTTTACACCTTAGAATGTTTGCCCAAAAATTGATGAAATGGTGCTGCTGCCCATTTTATCAAAACTTACTATTGGTCCATTTTATACCAGCTGTTGTCTGAGGGATGGAGAAGTACAGGTCATTCCTGGAGCCTCTCACCTCTCCCTCTGCCTGAAGCTAGCCTCCCAGCCTCTGCAGCTGCAGCTCTCAGAGCTAACATGTCTTCAGAACCAAGACCAGCTCCGTGGCCTGATTTTTGAACTCTGGACTCGTCTGAATGCTGCACAGAGCCAGTTGGCTGGTATGTAGCATGTGCAGTAGAAATAAGTATTTTGCCTTCCTCTTTAGACTATCAAAGGCAACAGGAGGATTGCAGACATGACAAAGTAACACACAGCAATCTGCACAGTATTTTTATGGCTATTATTCTGCCACTCCTCAGGGTAACAAAGCTCAAGACCTCGTCCTAGTGGGTGAGTGACTGGTGTAGTGTAATGGAGAGAGTCTGTGCTGTATTTTGCAGATGCAAGTCGGAGCTCAAGGTCAGGCAGCTCTAGAGCCAAGAGGCCAGCTGGAGCCAGTCTCGTTAACCCCAACATGAAGAGGTGAGAGAGTCTCTGGTGTACACTGCCCACTTCATGTCTGTGTGTATAGGAGGAAGGCTGTGAAGGGAGTTGTGTTTGGAGACTCTCAAGATGAATGCTGAACTTCACAAAAAATAATAATGACTTCATTTT